AAAACTATATAGTAAATGTGGAAACGCCTTAACCTGAAGCTCAGATCCTAGGGAAATCAAATTATATATTATAAATTTTTATATATATAAAAAACTCATGGCCAAGTAAACACATTTGAATTTGAATATATCCAAATCTAGACAAACAAAATTTATCAACTAGAAATTGTTATGCTCATCACTTAAAAGGAAGAACTGATTATTCTTTTTTTTTAATGTTTTATATATTTCTGAGAGAAAGAGACAGTGTGAGCAGGGGAAGGGTCAGAGAGAGGGAGACACAGAATCTGAAACAGGCTCCAGGTTCTGAGCTGTCAGCACAGAGTCCGACACGGGGCTCAAGCCCACGAACGGTGACATCATGACCTGAGCTGAAGTTAGACACCCAACCCACTGAGCCACCCAGGTGCCCCTGATTATTCTTTTAAACCTTGAATCCATTGACGTTTTTGCTAACATACATAGCACATTTTTGGTATTATGTCTGTTTAACAAAGGCACAAATACCATTAAAACATCATAACTATTTCTAGATTTATTAAAAATGAGATTAGTGATGGGTAAAATAGCTGAATTACTGGCATTTAGCATGAACTTTTTTTTTCCACTATAGTGAGGCACTATTAGGCACTATACTATGCACTAATTTCTGCCAAACTTTCATCACATTTTGTTCTACTGGGGATACTTCTTTTTTTTTTTTTTTTTTTTTTTTCAAATATTTTTTTTTCAAATTAGTTTCCACATAACACTCAGTGCTTTTCTACTGGGGATACTTCTAAGAGTCACAGTAATAATGAGTCACCATAAACAAAATTGGTCCTATTCTTTCTTTACTCATTATGCTAGGATGAGTTTGATTTTTAAAATAGTTTTAATGTTTATTTATTTTTGAGAGCCAGAGAACAAGCAGGGGAGGAGCAGAGAGAGAGGGAGACACAGAATCTGAAGCAGACTCCAGGCTCTGAGCTGTCAGCATAGAGCCTTACACCGGGTTCGAGTCCATAAAATGATATCATGACCTGAGCCAAAGTCGGACACTTAACTGCCTGAGCCACCCAGGTGCCCTGAGTTTGAATTTGTATTGGTAGAACTGTACAGTTTTTTTCCTATAATGATAATAACTATGGTAAATTGGGTAGGCAGAATGTGAAGTCTTTCCTGTGCTGGAGAAATCTCCTTAGAAGAAGTATGTATATGAAAGGTAGATTTGCATAAGGTACTTGTCTAATATGTGAGCTGACATCAGATTGGTATGAGCTACGCAAACATCATATTATTTTGCGATTGTGCCACATTCTCTTCTTTAGATTCCAATATTAGAAGACATGTATCATCCCTCGTTCTATAAATGGATAGATGAGATGAAAAAAAAATTAAGTGTAATTTAGTGACGTACCCAGTATTATGACATACCCAGCAGAGGAGGGAGTTAGTACAAAGTCCCCATTCCTGACTCCTGGTTAATTCACCTGTGAACAAAACCTCACTTTTGTTTCTTGCAGCCTGAGCTATATTTGAATTTAATATTCAGGAACCAATTTTATTAATTGTCTTGTTTGAATTTATGTTTGGTGCTCTTGCCAGAATTCTGTATTACATTTTTATTTCTGTAATTTGATTTCTCCTGAGCATCATAGTGACCCATCCTTTCACCTAACCCTGTACTTTGTAGACACAGCAATTGAGAAGAATAGAAGGTAGATTTAAAATCCAAACTAAACTAGTTGCAAAATATGAAACATGGTAATGATAAAAATAAAATCTTGGCATATTTTAAGATAGACTGTATATAAATTACAGCAACCTGGGGGCAGTAAAATTGATGCATGGACAGTAACATACCAACCTAATGTAGCAATTACAGTTCTATTTAGTAATAGCACATAAGTAGAAACTTCCAGCTCTAAGCTAAATCTATGTACCCTTGTACTCTTTATGTTGTGTCATCTCCTATAGGAAAACATACTTAGATATGATAAGCATGGACTGTTTTTACTCAGGTAGATACACGTTAAGTATAAAGTGCCCAGAAAATGGTAACTTTCAAAATATGTCAAAAATACATTTACTGTTTTTTACTTCCAGTGTTTGCATTTGTCTTAACATACAGATTCAAATCACTAACTCTATTCATTCAACCTGATGTTTAGCAGCAAGTATAAGAAACTAAAATTTATATAAGTTCCAGGCAGGTTTGTGGTTTTTTTTTTTAATATTAACTTGTTGTTACATATTACTGAATAATGGGAACAATGACCAACTGAAAAGTACATGTCCCAGCTAAAAAGGTTGACCATTACTTTGTTCCAACAAGCAACTCCCATGTTGGAATGTTAACCCAGTGTTGCAAGATCTTCAAAGATTTCAAAAGCAGGCAGAAGTTTAGATTTTTGTAGGTATTAACTAATTCCAGTTTAAAAAGACCAATAAGCGTGTCTGTGGTCCATAGCTTCTCACATGGAACTCTAAGTAGTTCCATAATTCAATAGTAATGGATCATGGTGCCCTTCAGTAAAGATCTCGGTACTGCTCAGGTTCCTACTGTCCTTTGCTTTTTCATTGTCCATTTAATCAGTATCATAAGAAAGCCATAGAATATTTCCTTTATGGGCACCTGGATGGCTCAGTTGGCCAAGCATCCGACTTCAGCTCAGCTCAGGTCATGATCTCGTGGTTTGTGAGTTCAAGCCCCACATTGGGCTCTGTATTGACAGTACAGAGCATGCTTGGAATTCATTCTCTCTCTCTCTCTCTCTCTCTCTCCCCCCCTTCTTTCAAAATAAGTCAATAAACTTAAAAAAGAATTATTTCCATTATATCTTCATAGATGGAAAGACTTGTCACAGTTGTAAACAATTGTCATGAAAAGCGTTTTTATTTGTGCCCATGCCTGTTATCTTTTTGCAGTCTTCAATGATTGTTATTGTTCCCTACAGCCTAATGTTATTGATCTCCTTAAATAAAACTTAATTATGCAAAGCTTACTATTAAATCAAATTTTGATTATTTGAACTTAAAAGGGAAGGATATGGATTATTTATTTTCTATACTCCCTCTTGAGAAAGTAAAGTACATGATTTATTCATTGTTCCATCTCATTTCTAGAGCATTCTCTGGCAAATAGAGGGTTGAGTGAAATCAATCTGTTAATAGAATTTTGTGCTTTTAGTCATTCATTCATTAAGTAATTTTTTCCTTAGTACAAACTGTGTGCCAAGCATGTTATTAAATATCATTTTATATATGTGGATTATTAACTCAAGCTAGAAAACCATTCTGCCTCAGAGAAAAAAAATTACACTAGTCTTCAATTTAATGATATATAATCTACATTTTTTTTCAGTTTTCCTTATGCATAATTAATAACATTATAAGATATTTTAAGTATATATCATGATATTTTGAAGGAGTTCCTCTCATCTAGTTAACCAATACATCCAATGAAATATAATATACCTACATTTTGCCTTCAGTTTTCTGCAAGACTGTTAAGAACATATCAACTTTTTTTCTTAGTTCTCCTTCCTAGAAAAGTATAATAAGATTGGATCATACTATATATCTCAAAGCAGATGTCTGATTGCTGCTTGGTTAATCAGAACTTTCCCCCTGTATACCAAATACCCTTAGAGGAAAAAAATCCACTAGCAAAACAAAACAAAACAAAACAAAAAAAAGTTAAGGTCTCATTAATTAATTTTAAATTTATTTGTAGTTTAAATGATTAGAATGTGACCATTCAAAACTATTTAACTTTGTTTAAAAAAATTAATGCTCCTATTTGATGAACAAAATGGACCTTGGCTCACCTGACTATTCTCTACAAAGACACATTTTTAAAAATCAGATTTCAAAAACAGTGTTTGATGGTCATGTAGATATGAAGATAAAAGTGAACTTCCAACTTCAAACAAGTTCAAATTCATGTGTTCTTAGAATTTCCTCATATCCTTATTTTTTGAAGTTAAGATTTTTAGCAATATGCCAAATGACTCATCATATCAATCAATCATATATTTGTGTCAGATCACATTCTATAGTAACAACAGGGCTGGATCACCAAAATTAATAGGAGCTTCAAAGCCTCCAATACAGCCAGGGTCACTGGGATCACTTAACTCAAAATCAAAAGTTACCTCATGTGCGGAAAGAGACATACACATTAGCATAATATGGTCTGTTTACATTGGTTATATTTGATGGTTATAGTCTTCATTTGAACTCTGGATGTGTCATCAAACTAGATGGCCAACTTGGGAGATGAGAATGTCTTTCTGTAACATAAAAAGTTGGCTGATAAACAACAAAATATATTTCTTTTCCGTAAGGATTTGTGTTTTCTTTTTGAGATTCATCTTTCTCATATTATAGTTTACTAGGGGTAATAAGCAGAATAATGGCTCCTGAAGATATCCATGTCCTAATCCACAGAATCTGTGAATGTATTAACTTGCATGACAAAGGAGAATTAAGATTGCAAACAAAATTACAGCTGCTAATCAGCTGATTTTTTGGTAGAGATAGAGAGCCCTGGAATATCCAACTTGGCCCAATGTAATCACAAGGTAGAACAGGGGATTGGAAATAGAATCAGAGATGGAAGTATGAGAAACCCTCAGCCTGATAGACAAGCAGGGCCATGAGCCAAGGAAAATGAGCGGGCTCTAAAACTGCAAAAGCCAGGAGAATAGATTCTCCCTGAGAGCCTGCAGAAAGGAATGGATACCTTCCAACACCTGTCAACACCCCCAGTGATACCCATTCAGGGCTTCTGACCTATAGAACTATAAAATATATTAAGTTCGTGCAGTTATAAACCACTACGTTTGTGATAATTTGTTACAGTAGCCAAGCAAACTAATACACCAAAGATTTTTATTTTTTTTCTGAAGACTCTGTCACTAAAACTGCATTAATTAAAAAAAAAAAAAAAAAACAGTTAACATTTTCAGACTTCTCTTAAAGTATTGCATATTTCTTCATTCATTTACTTTCAGGAGATAATCCACAGCAGCCAAGGGGACATTTCAAGAAGCAGCCAGGAAATGGAAAGAAATGAACAAGCAGCCTCCAAAGCACACAAAAGTGACGTTCTTGGAACAGAAATGGTAACTACTTAGAAACACAATGCTTTCCAGTTTCCAAAACTGTGTGGAAATTCTAACCTCCTTGTAAGCAATTGCTTTTAATGTCTTTTTATGTATTTAGTATCAATACATACCAGCATCTATTTTCCCACTTTGGCACTGATGTTCTTTGAAAACTAAAATGAGCATGCTAAATTTTTGAGTGCACTTTAGTTGTTAATTTATATATGTTCTGTTATAGCATGAACCTGTGCATTAAAGTAAGGGATAGGGGGGCATCTGGGTACGCAGCTCAGTCGGTACGCAGCTGACTCTTGATTTGGCTCAGGTCATGATCCCAGGATCATGGGATCAAGCTCTACATTGGACTTCATGCTGAATGTGGACCCTGCTTAAGATTCTCCCTCTCTCTCCTTCTCTCCCTCTGCCCCTTTCCCCTGCTTGTGCTCTCTCTCAAATTAAAAATTAATTAAATAATTAAGGGATAGAACTTTACTTAGCATCCCTCAAAATGCACTGAAGTCTTGAATGAAAATCACTGTGAAATGAAGAATATATGTGCAGTACTAAAATAACGGACTTCTTAAAAACATTTATTTATTTAAAATTATCTTTAAACACAGATCTCCCATCTTGAAAAGCACACTGAGGAAATAAACCAAGCTTCTCAGTTCCATCAATATGTTCAAGAAACAGGTGAGAATTTGATATTATTTGACCCCAATATACCTTTCTCCTACTCATGTGTCTGGGTTTGAATGGAGGATTTCAAAAGCACATTCCCTCCCACTAAGGACATTTAGTAACTATGACTCATAGTCCCAAAGGAGACAAAGTAGTATTTCTATGTATAATTAGGTTCTGCCTGTGGTAATAGATGCAATAAGCTTCTAAAATAGTTCACTGCCCATCAGCCTTATGAATTCATCCTAAAAGCCTAGAAGGTGATACAGCACTCATCTCTGAATTGCTTTTTGCCTCAGGCACCTACAATAAAGCTTAATGTTTATCAAGTTCCCTGAGAATAGAAATGTTATCTAGATCATATTACTTTTAATAATAGACTTAAACACTTCTAAATTCAGTTTTCAACCTACAGATATGAGATTAAACTACAGACAAATCTGTGTGCAGTTTGCATAAGACAGGTACAGGCTCTCTTGCCTATAAAAGGGGAATGAGAACTTTTGTTGCCTTGAAGAGCTAAAAAGGAAGATTTAAGCCAATTGTGACCCAATTATTACTTCATTCTATCTGCATTTTGGTTTTATTTTGCTTTTTTAAATGAAGTAGTCTTCCTTTTCTGTCCTTCTGCTGTTCTTTTCTTGATTTATAACTTATATTATAAGCATGAAAGTAAAATATGCTTGTAGAAAACTTGAAACATACATACAATTAAAATAACAGTTCCATCACTTACGACTTCGCATCTAGAGATAACCACCACCATGGTTCTACTGTAGTTCTTGACACTAACTTACATAATGAAATAGTGTCATATGTATATATTTGTACCTTGAACCTTTTTCTTTAACATATATTGTGAGAAGCTTCCCACAGCATTACAGTTTCCTTCTCAAACATCCTGTTTTTGAGTTACCTAACATCCCCGGTATTCTTTTCTGTTTGTAGTCATTGATACACCGGAGGATGAAGAGATTCCAAAGGTTTCAACTAAGTTCTTAAAAGAGCAGTTTGAAAGGTCTGCCCAGGAAAAGGTCCTTTATTCTGACAAAGAGATGACCCCAGCCAAGCAGATTAAGGTAAAACTATTTCTCTACATGGAAACATATTAAGTGTAAAACGAGATGTAAATGCATAGCATTTTCAAATTATTGAATGTTTGATGTGGTTTTTCAACTAAATCTGGAGCCAGTACTTTTTTCTCCCATAAAGAGATTATTCTACGTGAGAGAAGCAGTAGAGTTAAAACTTTTCTCACTAGAAAAAAAATTAGGGAAGAAAAAAATTATATATGCTCTAAAGTTTAATAACTAGCATTAGATAAAATAATAAAGTCAATTTTAAATGTCAGATACTCTGCTTAAAATTCCAAGGAAAACAAAATAATTCTCAAAAGTACTTTAAGACTTTTACTGTTTCCCTTTAGATTACTCAGCGCAGCATATTAAGTAAAGGAGGAAGAATAATCAAGATTATGTGTAAATGTTAAAATACGGAGTTGTTGATGTACTGAGTGGGGAATAGAACCCTAAAAGTGCAAATGAATTATAGAAAAGATAGTAACAAACACTGAATATTGCTCCTAAGTAGGTCTTTAAAAGGAGTCTGTCTTCTGTTGTTTCTAAAGGAGATATCATAGCAGGTGGACAAATAAGGGACAGTCCCTAGGAAATCTCCACCACTACACCCATTTTTATAAGATCTGATTTTCTTTCCCTTCAAGATCGAAAGTGAATATGAAGAGAGTTTAAAACCATCATCAATTGTGGGTACCTCTTCTACTTCTTGCACTTCGACCAGCCAGAGGAAGGAGACATCAACTGTAAAACATAGTGCCCACAATGCCACTTCCTCAACTCTAGCACAAGTTAATGCTACTCCTATGGGAAAGACAGAAGAATTTCCTCCACCCCCACCTGAAATATTTCAAACTCCAATAGATGCGACAGCATTTTCCCAGTCCCCTGAATTCCCCAACCCTCCTAGAACACCACCAGTACCCAAAGAATTATATTCTAAGCAAAGAAATTTGTACGAATTAAACCGTTTATATAAACACATCCATCCTGAGTTAAGAAAAAACTTAGAAAAACATTATATCAGTGAGGTTTCTGAAATTGTCTCTAGTCAAGTGAACCCAGGGAGCTCAGCTTTAGCTGATGTGCAACAAGCCCGGTATGTTTTTGAAAATACGAATGATAGTTCTCAAAAAGCTCTGAACTCAGAAAGAGAACACTTGGAGTGGGATGAAATTCTGAAGGGGGAGGTGCAGTCCATGAGATGGATCTTTGAGAATCAGCCATTAGATTCCATCAACAATGGCTCTCCAGATGAAGATAACATCAACAAGGGCATTGCTGATCAAGAAATCATTGCTGGTGGTGATGTGAAATATACCACATGGATGTTTGAAACCCAACCCATAGATACACTGGGTGATCATTCTTCTGGCACGGAAGAAAGTGCTGAGAAAATTCCTGAACTAGCCAGAGGAGATGTCCGCACAGCACGGTGGATGTTTGAAACAAAGCCATTAGACTCAATGAATAAAATGCATCAAAGTCAAGAAGAATCCATGGTAACTACCATAAAGGACGTAACTGGTGGGGATGTCAAGACTGTGAGATATATGTTTGAAACTCAACATCTGGATCGGCTTGGACAGCTTCATTCAGTGGATGAAGTTCACCTACTGCAACTCAGGTCTGAACTCAAAGAAATTAAAGGAAATGTGAAGAGAAGTATAAAATGTTTTGAAACTCAACCATTATATGTTATTAGAGATGGCTTAGGTCAAATGCTAGAAATTAAAACTGTTCACAGAGAAGATGTTGAAAAGGGAGATGTGAGAACAGCACGCTGGATGTTTGAAACACAGCCCTTGGACACAATTAACAAGGATATCACAGAAATTAAAGTTGTCCGAGGAATATCTATGGAAGAAAATATCAAAGGTGGGGTGAATAGGGCAAAGTGGTTATTTGAAACCCAACCTTTAGAGAAAATCAAAGAAGACTCAGAAGAGGTCATCATTGAAAAGGAGACAATAATAGGTACAGATGTCTCCAGAAAGTGTTGGATGTTTGAAACACAGCCATTAGACATTCTAAAAGAAGTTTCTGATGAAGATCCTCTAAGATCTGAAGAGATAATAGGGGGTGATGTACAAACTACTAAGCATCTATTTGAAACACTTCCAATAGAGGCTTTAAAAGATAGCCCTGATGTAGGAAAACTTCAAAAAATCACTGCCTCTGAAGAAGAAAAGGGGGATGTTAGACACCAAAAATGGATTTTTGAAACCCAGCCTCTGGAAGACATTAGAGAAGATAAAAAAGAGTACATACGAACAGTGAAACTTGAAGAAGTTGACAGAGGAGATGTAAAGAATTACACACATATCTTTGAATCAAGCAATTTAATTACATTTGATGCATCACATAAAATAGAGGTGGAAGGAGTCACAAGAGGTGCTGTAGAGTTAAATAAATCACTCTTTGAAACAACACCACTATACGCCATTCAGGATCACCTTGGAAAATATCATCAAGTAAAAACAGTTCAACAAGAAGAAATCCTAAGAGGTGATGTACGAAGTTGTAGGTGGCTCTTTGAAACAAGGCCCATTGACCAGTTCGATGAAAGCATTCATAAATTCCAGATAATTAGAGGAATATCTGCTCAAGAAATACAGGCTGGAAATGTGAAGTCTGCTAAATGGCTATTTGAAACTCAACCTCTTGATTCGATTAAATATTTTAGTAATATGGAAGAGGAAGAAAGTAAAACTGAACAAGCTACAGATATTGTTAAAGGGGATGTCAAAACGTGTAGGTGGCTTTTTGAAACCCAACCAATGGAGTCTCTTTATGAAAAAGTTTCATTAATGACTGACAGTGAAGAAATTCATAAAGGAGATGTCAAAGCCTGTACTTGGCTCTTTGAAACTAAGCCACTTGATACCATAAAAGATGACGCTGAAGCAACAGTCAAATTGCAAACTGTAAAACAGGAGGAGATCCAAGGTGGGGATGTTCGTACAGCATGTTTCCTTTTTGAGACAGAGAATTTGGACAGCATACAAGGAGAAGAAGGAAAAGAAATCAAGGCCATGGAAATGGATATCCAAGCTGGGGATGTCTCCAGCATGAGGCATAAATTTGAAAATCAGTCCTTAGATTCTATAAGTTCCAGTTCAGAGGAAGTTTTGAAAAAGATCAAAGCCCTAAAGACTGAAGATATTCAGAAAGGCAATGTTTTAAATTGTAGGTGGCTTTTTGAAAACCAGCCAATTGATAGGATAAAAGAGAGCCAAGAAGGTGATGAATTAGTTAAGACAGTGACAGACATACAAGGTGGGGATGTAAGGAAGGGGTGTTTTATTTTTGAGACTTTTTCTTTGGATGAGATTAAAGAAGAATCTGACTGTATCAGCACCAAGAAAACAACTACTGAAGAAGTAATGAAGGGTGACGTAAAAAGCTACAGAATGCTCTTTGAAACCCAGCCACTCTATGCAATTCAAGACCGAGAAGGGCATTATCATGAAGTGACAACAGTTAAAAAGGAAGAGGTGATTCATGGAGATGTACGAGGAACGAGGTGGCTGTTTGAAACAAAACCATTAGACTCAATTAACCAGTCAGAGACTGTGTATGTTATCAAATCTGTCACACAAGAAGACATTCAGAAGGGAGATGTTAGTTCTGTCAGATACAGATTTGAAACTCAGCCATTGGATCAGATTTCAGAAGAATCACGTAATACCGTGTCCACTGTAGACTATATTCAAGGTGGAGATGTAAAAACGAGTAAACAATTATTTGAATCTGAAAATTTTGATAAGAATACATACATAAGAACGGTAAGCGTCAATGAAATACAAAAGGGCAATGTTAAAACATCTACTTGGCTATTTGAAACACACACTATAGATGAACTGAGAGGAGAAGCGTCAGAATATGAAAATATCAAAACAGTCACCCTAGAAGATATACAGAAAGGTGATGTTAAGCAGGCAGTATGGCTTTTTGAAAATCAAACTTTGGATTCTATTAATGAAGTAGATGAAAGCACCACAAAAATCATCAGGGAAGAAATCCCTCCTTCTGATGTCAAAACAACTACATGGCTCTTTGAAACTACACCCCTTCATGAATTTAATGAAAATAGGGTAGAGAAGGTAGAAATTATTGGCAAGAGCATTAAAGAAACATTGCAAGAACTCTATTCTCAAAAAGTTATTGAGGCTCCTGGAATCATCATTGAAGCCAATGAAGTAGGGGATGTTCGAATGGCAAAATACAGGCTAATGAATCAAGCATCTCCTGAAGTACAGAAAGAAGAAATTATTAGGGTTGATCTCAGAAATATAATGGTGAACCTACTTTCCAAAAGAGACTGTATAAGAAGAGAGATTTCGGTTAGTGAAGAAGAGAAGGGAAATGTTAATTTGACCAAAACTCAATTATTAAACAGATCAACAGAATTTCATGCTGAAAAAGAAGAAATAGTGAGTGGTGATGTACAACAAGCAATAAAAAACCTGTTCTCTGAGGAAAGATCTGTAAAGAAAGGCATTTTAATTCAAGAAGATGAAAGAGGAGATATTAACATGACTATCTATTGTCTTCTTCATGAAAACACTGGTGACACAATTGAGCGTGAAGAAGTAATAGGGGGTGATGTGAAACGTTCCATTCATAATTTGCTGTCTTCCATATCAAGCAATAAAATATCTGAAAGGGCTAAAATTGATGCCTCTGAGAGGGGAAATGTTCAGTTTTTTACAACATGCATAGAAACTGGAGCTTTGGATTATCTTAAGCAACTTCAGACAGGGTCAAATGAAACATTAACATCTGGGAAACGAGAGAGGGAGGAAGAAATAATTGGTGGTGATGTGGAGGGCACGAAACTGTTACTGAAGAAAAGGCAGTCTCGGGTCGAACGTACTGTTAATGAAGCCGACATCATCCCAGGACATGTGCATAATACAGTTAAGGTTTTTATGACAGAGCCTCAGACTACATTTTGCAGGACACCCAAAGAAGAAATTATAAAAGGTGACTTGAAATCAACCCTAAATTCCCTCAGCCAGGCCATGAATCCGAAAACAGTGGCTAAAACAGAAGAAATTATAAAAGGTGACATGCTGTCCACACTCAAGTCACTTAAGGAATCAAGCCACCAATGGAAAGAATCTAAACAACCCAATGCCATCCCTGGTGATATTGAGAAAGCCATTGAATGCCTTGAAAAGACTGCAAACACAAGAACAGAAATCCTGAAAAAGGAGCTTATCCGAGATGACCTTCAAATGTCATTAAGGAATCTGAAAGAAGCACAGAGAGCTTTTAAAGAGGTGGATAAAAAAAGTGTAATGAAAGAAGATGTGAAGGAGGTGATGGTAGGTTCCTCAGAAGAGCAGAAAACAAAGATTCATCAGGTGGCTGAGCAGAGGGACAAAAAAGGTCTTCTTCAGCCAAGACCAGGACCGTTTGAGCCAGCAGCCAGGTGGCAAGGGGGAGCAGATGCTCCCAATCAAACTACAGGCAAATCTTGTTATGGGAATTTGATAGAAGAAAGAACTGAAGTTAATCTTCCAAAAGCCCCCAAAGGCACCATAAAGATTGTCATAGATCGTGAACAAAACAACGATGCTCTTGAGAAAAACCTTAGAAGACTATCTAATTCACACCACAAAGCTAGTAAAAATGTGTTGGAATCAGGGGACAAAATGGGTATCTGGATGGATACCACAGCAGAGCAGCATTTTAGTGATGAACAGATGACCAGACAATTGACTTCAACTGTGTCAGCCAAGGAACATCTAAAAACTAAGGAATCAGAGACAGTGAGAGAACAGAAGAAGGATGCAGTCTTTAACTCTACCCAATCTATTGGTAAAACAATTGGAAGCCAACAGACTCAAACGTGTGAACTGAGGAATGACAACCAGAAGACTGAGTCTTTCTCTGTAAAGATTCCAAAACATACCAAACACACTAAAACATCAACAGATAGACAAAGCCCAAAGCCCAGTCCAACCCAGGGTGTAGTCAACAAGACAGTTGTGGAAACTTGTGAAGTTTCAGAGGACTTTCAGAAGCAAACTTCACTAGAGCAAGAAATACAATGTTCTAGGAAAGATATAAGGAAAAAGAACATGAACCCTCAACCAATTTTGCCTATAGATCAAGACATATCAAATACAACAGAAGTAAAAGTCTCCCCAAAAAGCTACAGTAAATTTAAGGCAATTGACAAAAAGCAGGCTGATGTTCATCTGAAGAGCCAGGACTTTCTAATGAGGACAAATACTTCCACAGACTTAAAAATGGCAATGGAAATGTCCTTTAATTCAATCAATGTTAACCCTGAAAACAATGCAAAAGAAAGTGAGTGTTCTCTTCCACCTCCTTCTCCACCTCCTCCACCACCTTCCAACACATCATCTGAAATTGAATTTCCTCTTCCTCCTCCACCTCCTTTAATGATGTTGCCTGAAAAAAATGTTTTTCCTCCCTCATTGCCCACAGAGATGATAAAGGCTGAATTTGAAAGTTTCCCAGGCCTCCCTCTTCCTCCACCACCAGAAGATGAGAAATTTGAATGTCTATCAATGTTTCCACCGCCTCCCCCTCCTCCTCTTAAACCATCGCATCTCCTTCCCTCCTCTGTTCAAGAAAAGCGCAGTGGAGCATTTGTACAGTATTCCAAGGAAGAAGCCTCAAGTTCTCAGCAAACTCATTCTCAGGCAAAAGTCCTAACTGGAAAATCAGGGGTAATTTTGCCACCTCCCACATTCCCTAAACCCAAATTTTCCAAACAGATCGAAGATAAAAAGAATCACGGTTCTCCAAGAGTTGGAATGGAAAATTCCCTGCCAGATGTGGAATGCAAAACTACTCCCTCAAAAGATCAGAAAAATGTAGTAATGGTGACTAGCACTGAACACACAGAGTTGAAGCAGAATGTATCCAGAAGTCTTGATGAAAGAAAACAATTATCTATGGACTCTAAAAGGTTTCTCTCACAGACAGTTCCAGAAATTTCACTACCCAAGGAAAAAACAATAGCGCCTCTTGTAAAATCTCATTCATTCTCAGCAGGCTCAGGACAACAAAGTCCAAAACCTTATATGAGAAAATTTAAGACACCTTTAATGATTGCTGAAGAAAAGTATAGACAACAAAGAGAAGAGCTTGAAAAACAGAAGCATGAGAGTTCTTGCTACAAGATAGTCAAAACGGAAAGCCCAAATCAAAACATGTCAGAGCCGAAAAAGGAAGTGTTGTTACAAAAAACAAATGAGGTGGTTCCCCTACCTGGAATGGATTCTCAAAGTCATTCTCAAGTACTAGGAGTGGGTACTGATAACCAGCTTTCCACAACACCAGGAGTGACCGTTGCTGCTGAAGGGCACCAACCTGTTTTCCCAGCCTCAGAAGACAAAGATACCATGGAAAAGGAAGTTATACAGAGTTCGAGGGACACACTACAGTCTATATCAGCTTGTGAAATTAAACAGAGTCACCAGGAATTTAAGATACAAGAAGCACAGCAGAAGTATGTGGAGGAGCAGCTGCATTTGTCCCAAAGAAAACCAGTTTCCCCAAGTTTCAAAGTTAAAAGTATCCAGCTTCCAACTCCAGATCACAAATTAAAGGAAACAGACCACATCTATGAAAGCCATAAAAAGCAATCTGAAGTTGATGTTCAAACCATTAGCAAACAACAGTACCAGAAATCTGAGAGAACTGAAGCAAGCACTGAATATAGTAATAAGCAATCTGTAGCTGAAAAATATTGTCAATTACCTAAGAAGGAGAAAAGAGTAACAATAAAATTGCCAACAGAACCCGTAGGGAAAAGCCATGAAAGTAAACTCAATATAGTTCATGAGAAGCAAAGAGAATATAGAGACTCTGAGAGTGGGAAACTTCCAGGAAGCGAAAGAACAAATCAGGAACCATCACTGACTGGTCCAAAGGAAGAGAGACCAACAGTTGAAAGAAAGCAAGAACGTTTGAATAAATCAGCACAGAAGGTAGTCAAGCAAAAGGTTACTGATGTATATCTTGATTCACAGACACAGAATTTTCAGCAAACACAAACACAGACTTCTGAAAGTCAAGTTGAACATAAAAAATTGCCCGAGCCATATAATAATCTGCAGGAAGAAAAATGTCTTGGACTCAAGGGCATACAACAGAAACAAGTCTTTTCTAATACTAAAGATTCAAAGCAAGAGATTACACAGAACAAATCTTTATTTTCCTCTGTGAAAGAATCCCAGCAGGATGATGGAAAATGTGCTATAAATATATTGGAATTCTTGAGAAAACGTGAAGAACTACAACAGATTTTGTCTAGGGTAAAGCAGTTTGAAGTGGAGCCAGATAAAAATGGCCCTAAAATATTTCAGACACTGTTAAATATTATTCCAGTATGGCTGTTAAGTGAAGAAAAAAGACAGTATGGAGTTTGCATTGCTATGGAAAATAACATAGAAAAAATCAAAGAAGAAATAACGCATATTAAAACTCAAGCAGAGGATATGCTTATGTCCTGTGAGAATACAATTCAAACAGCCATGATGATATCCTCCAAAGCAGGAAACCAGCGGAATAAACCTACCAGCCTTAACGAAACATTATCTAAAATATCTAGTGCTAGTGACCAGCAAGAAAATACCATTGTAGAAAAAACAGAGCACCATCAAGTAGCAACTCACCATGAAGCAACTGCTCACAATCACGTGAAAACTCATCATGAAATTAAATTAGATAATAGCAAGATCTCTCCTCCATCCTTAAAAACACGCCCACCGTCACCAACTTTTATAACAATCGAGTCTACTGCCCGGCGAACAGAAACCTCTACTAAGGATGAGCTCTCTCAGTCCCCTAAAAAGGACAGTTTTGCTGAACCATCACCAAGAAGTCCCGTGGCACAAACGTCTAGAGTCGGCAGAGCAGATGCGTCCCCTCCTCCACCCAGGAGTCGCTCTGAGCAGCTTGTCAAACTCAAAGACACCACTGCAAAGCTGTCCAGAGGGGGCGTCGCGTGCACATCAGGAACTCCGGTTCCGATTGTAGAGAAAAGGTCTGAGATCATTGCATCCCCTGCAACACTTCGTCGTCAAATTAAGATAGAAACCCGTGGTAGGGACTCTCCACCCACAATCACAATACCTATAAGTGTAAACCACGTAGATAGTGGTTCCTTCAGAGGATCCACGGAAGCTCAAGAGGAAGTTAGGCAAGTGGAGAAAAGAGAGACTTACATTCACAAAGACACTGGGAATTCCGCGCAGCGCCTCCTGCCGGACACTGAAAGTTTTGATGCGGTGGAAATCATCCGCAAGGTCGAAGGGCCCCGCGGCTCAGAGCACAGGCAAAGGTATGAAGCCGCCAACCAAACTGTTCAAATGGCTGAAAATTTCATGAGTGACCATGAAAATGAAATAAACAGATGGTTCAGGGAATTTGAAGATGGGCCAGCTTTTGAAGCAAAGTCAAATAGAAGAGTTTATACCAATGGAGAAATAAACCATAATATTAAACAAGAAAGTCGTTCGTTTTGTAAGGAGGAATTTGGATTAACATCTCTAGAAAATACAAGTTTTACAGGCTTTTCTTGCAATCGTCCTAGAGAGCTGCAAGAAAAAATCCCTGTCAGACAGCCCAGCGTCCGCTCTGAAACAAGGACTGTAAGTGAACATTTCTCAGGTGTGGATGCTTTTGAGAGTCAAGTTGTTGGGTCAAAGATGACTGTCTCTTCATCACATGGCTCAGAAGCTGGCAAATCTGGCTTTGACTTCAAGCATGCGCCACCAACCTATGAAGATGTCATCGCTGGCCATATATTAGATATTTCTGATTCACCTAAAGAACTCAGGAGGAATTTTCAAAAGGCATGGCAGGAGAGTGAAAGCATTTTCCAAAGCCTGGGTTGTGCGACCTCCGATGCGTCTGCCACTGAGATGAGAACCACCTTCCAAGAGGAATCTGCATTTATCAGTGGTAAATGAGAGTGTGCAGAATGTGAAGACTAACCCACTTAACGGCACGTGTTCCAAAGCCAGGATGACTTGTAGTTAGAAGGATGCTTGGAAATAACCAAAAACTAACAGCTTTCCCTGGCGGAGGATTTCCTCCTCTTTACAATGCTTGCTTTTACTGCTTTGTTTTCACAAAAGCATCTAATATAGGAGTCATCTGCACTGTGCGAGAATAACAGTGTAGATTGATTGAGTCCTGTATTTGTCAAGGTAAATCAGATTTTAGATAAAGCAGCAGATGTAATCTTGTTATTGTGACAGTATTAATAATTATATGTAACAGCATATTTATTAATAATCGTACATGCATAGCACATTGTTTATATTTTTATTAAAAGTTAATATTTTATCCACTTGCTTCAGACAATATGAGATCATATCTATTGGCCTACTATTGACGTATTTTTTTTTTTTACAAATAGCTTATTGTCAAATTAGTTTCCACATAACACTCAGTGCTCATCCCCACAAGTGTCCTCCTCCATGCCCATCCCCCCC